AATTTGTATTGTCAATTCCGGGAGCCTTGTTTTTTGCCAGTGCCCTCAGTGCAGCTTGGACTTCTTCCTTCAATACCATCAGTTCTTGATCATATACCAACTCTAGAAATGGCTGAAGATCAATAATTTCTGGTACAGTGAGTTTTACCTTCGCCCCCCCCCCAAAAAAAAATTCCATGTCTTCGTCACATGTAAAACACATTCACCCCAAACACATTATCATCCCACAAGTCTTAAATTAACTCCAAATCCAAAATCTCATCTCCTGAATCACCTAAATCAAACATGGATGAGACTTTAGGCATGTTCCATCTTGGAGCAAAATTCCCCTTCATCTATGAAATCTAAATTACAAGTTATCTATTTCCAAATTACAATGGGAGAACAGGCAAAAGGTAGACATTTCCTGCTACAAATGGAAGAAATTAGGGGGAAGGAAGGGATAATGGGCACCAAGCAAGTCCAAAACCCAACAGAACAAATTACATTAGCTCTCAAGGCTTGAAAATAATCCTCTCTTCTTGGAAACCATCTGGGAATTAAATATACTAGAATCTGGGTGAAGGCCCATTAGCCATATCCATCATCTAGGACCCCTGGGAGAGCAACTCTGCTCCCTTGGCTCTGGGAAGTCTAACTCCTAGTCTATCTTAGTGTAACCTCACCCCCTCAGCCATAACAGACCTAGTGCTTCTACCCATTGGACACAATAGTTCTACCCACTTAACTTTGGGCAGTGGGCCTATCCCCTTGGCACTCATGAATGGCAGCCCCACAATTCTGGAAAAGAGCTGGTGTCTATCAGAGTCTTTGCTTTTATTCTTTCTCTGAGCCCTTCAGTCTAAGTGGATGAGTTTTCTACTGTGATAGTTGGTTAGATCTTTCCGTTGCAGGTGTAATATCTTTAACAAAATATTTGAAGCCATATCCTTGGTGAAAATTCTAAGTTACATGTTTTTAGTTTGTATTAACAAAATACATATTTTAAAATTCTGTTTTCATTTTACACAGTTTAAGTCCACCTCTTGCTTTTCGCATTTTAGTTTAAGCA